CCCCCCCCCCCCAATCCTTATTGCAGCGTAACTGACAGTATCTGTTGGAATGGACATTTGTTATATATGGAAGGTTGGATTATATTAACTCATTCCATTACTGCTTATAGTATTTTTTAATGTATTCTGTGCCCCGTCAGGTCTATTCTGTTCTATGTAATGTATAGATATATGGCATATATCCAGAGGCGGATTAAGGCTCCCTGGTGCCCTAAGCACTGAACGATCTTGGTGCCCCCCCTCCTTTCCACACTGACCCAGTCCATTTTAGTTGTTGACCTGTCTGACCAGATATACGATGCAGGTTGCAGCAATACAAAAATTTATTCATATGATAACACAATATACTGTACAAACTAAGCCAAGCTTGGGCGACATAAAGTTCTACAAAAATGCAATACAACGTCTATTTTAATATTGCACAAGTTAAATGTATCAAAGTTCCGATAGTCACCCTTTCACCAACTTTGTGGTGCCCCCTTTGGCCCTGGTGCCCTAAGCAGGTGCTTAGTCTGCTTAATAGTTAATCCGCCCCTGCATGTAGCAATTTATCAGTGCCCACCGAAGAAGGCTTTAGAGGCCCAAACATGTATGGTCTGTTGATTAAAGAATTTGTTCCCGCTATCTGAAAGTGACATTAGATATCCTTATATTTGTCAATGTTCTGTTTAATAATTTATCAACATAAGGGGAAGAAGTTACCCTTGAGGTGTGATAGATAGACAGACAGACAGACAGACGGATGATAGAGATACATATATTATACATACCTATATATATATAAAGCTACTGAGAGCCAGTTTGGTGTAGTGGTTAAGTGTGCGGACTCTAATCTGGGAGAACCGGGTTTGAGTCCCCACTCCTCCACTTGCACCTGCTGATGTTACCTTGGGTCAGTCACAAGCTCTGGCACAGCTGTCCTTGAAAAAGAGCAGTTTGTGTCAGAGTTCTCTCAGCCCCACCCACCTCACAGGGTGTCTGTTGTGGGGAGGGGAAGGGAAAGGAGTTTGTAAGCCGCTCTGAGACTCCAAGTGAAGGGCGGGGTATAAATCCAATCTCTTCTTCTATTGCTTTAATCATTTGATTTTATTGCTCTATATTCCATTAAAATGTATGCCTTATTTTCTTTTAGTCTTAGCATTTTGGTTTGCTTTTTATCAACATCTTGGTTACCTAATCCATTTCAGGGTTGTGTCTCTCCCCCCCCCACCCCCCTTCGTTTTTCTTCTTGGGGTAGACATTGAAACTCAGTCAGTGCCAGCAGAAAAGGAAGGGTGGCACAAATGTGGCTTTTAAGACACATTCTGAAGACAAACTGAGACTAGTAAGTAGATAAGGAAAGGGCAGTAACTTGAAGTAGAGAAAAAAAATTATTCGAAGAGATAGTGCGAGTTATCTGAATATCCTTTGGTGGCTACTGTTGAGCTCTGGAACTGTTCTATTCATTTTTAGTTAAATGTACAAAAACCATAGTGGTTCGAACAGCGGCTGATTCCACCGTTCCTGTTTTCTGTATTTTTATTCTTGAGATGTAGGAAAACCAAATAAATCCACAGGAACAGCGACAGAAACGTTTCGCGGGCTCATTACCTCAACTCTTCAGAGAGACCCAGTTCTTACCCTGACTAGTGGTCCCAGCGGTCTGAATCATAAACCAACAGCTGAAGCAGAGAACTTCTGATCATCTTTAAAGCAAAATCATCACAGCATGTTTTGGAGGGCATTAACAGCCCAAGTGGGAGGGAAGGCCGCATGCGATAGCCTGGTCTTGTCAGATCTTGTAAGCGAAGTAGGGTCAGTCCTTGAAAGGGAGACCTCCAAGGAAGACTTTGCAGAGGAAGGCAACGGTAAACCACCTCTGCTTCTCCCTTGCCTTGAAAGCCCCTTGCTGGGGTTGCCGTAAGTCTTTCCATGCATACACGGCAGCCTGAATTAACTGAACGTATGGAGGACTGTATGCTTCGCTAGCTGACAATCAAATGTATGATTAAACATCTGTGAAGATCCCGTTTTAAGCCATAGACGGCCTTTAAAAGGTGTGCACCCTTCTGGTAGGAATGCCCGCGCACCTATCTTACCTTGAAATCATTTTGTCTTTGTCTAGCATTCTTCTTGGATCGTTCCATTTGACCAGATTTTTCTGCAGTCTTGTAAAATGTAAACATAAGCAGAGATATTAATTTAGTGATATTCATATTAACATCTAGCAGTGACAATCGGGGATTCTATAGACATCCAGTTCGTCAAAAATGAGACAACACGTCCTTGAACGAATTCTCAGAACACTTCAGACCCTGGAAGGAACACTTCAAACGTAGGTCACTACTTTAGAATACCAATGTATGTGTCACCAAATTAATAAGAGAAATAAGAACGCTGCGTCATAAAAGGACAAGTTCAGCAGCTTCCATGAAGCCTGTTGAGATCTCCAAGTAGTTTTTCTAGGGGAAAAAAGACCCCTATCCATTCACTATAAAAAGAGGTAGAGCTGCTTTTAAGTCTAATGTAATGTATGGATGACACCTAATGGACAGACGATATCATAGCAAATACGGTGGTGGGGAAAATGCTCTTCCCCTTACAATTTAAATGGAATCTATGATGTGTGTGATTTTTAAGAGCGTGATAATATGGGCCACACAGAGGCAACTGCAGCTTCTGTGTCGAAGGCATCCGGGAAAGAGGAAGGCCGGATTGACTCTGTCAGGGAAGCCACGAAGGGCCTGTTTGCAAGACCAGAGAAAGGCTGGTAAGGAGAGGACGTTTTGGAGGTTGTTAATTCAAAGGGTCGGCTTAAGTCAGAAGTGACTTGATGGGGCTTTTTACACACACACACACAAACACAAACACACACACACACACACACACACGACCTACCTTTCCCACTTTCTGAAATACTCTTATCTCTCTATTAAGAACGAGCCAAGCCCAACCTGTCCTATTTTGCTTAATGTTAGAAGATTCAGCCCGACTACCTGCACACCTCGAATCTTTACAGTAATCTGTTAAAAGCTGTTTTACTTGTTTTTTCCTGCTTATGATACCCTGTGATTGGGTCTAGGGCAGCTGATTGAGGGAGACGGCTCAGGTGATGGAGGGCCTTAACTTGGAAAAGAGATTGTAGCGGATGATCTCCTGTCCCCTTCAGCCTGACAGACGATATGCACATGTATAAATTAAAGGCACCGGGGTTTTCCCCCCAGCCTCCTCCTTTTGACAGAGTTTGCTGAATAGTTTAACCCTTTCCTGTACAGACAGACCAAAACTATTCTGTGGTAAGTCTCAACGGTCAGGCTGTGCCGTTTTCACTGACAGGTCTCGGTTTAGCTACACGTCGTCTGAGCCTGTTGAAAACATCTTGGCAACCTTTAACCGACACTTTTCTAAGATATACAGGTCACCGTACAGCTTCTTTATTACTGCTCCTTTCCTTCTCATGGTTGCTCATCACTTTCAGAACTCTGTGTCTGTGCTCGAGTGTCTTTTTGACTGTAAGGTATCAAAAATAAGGAACAGCCACACAGAAAAAAGTGAGATGCCACACCTGCTTTCTGCTCTCTCTGCTCCCCCCCACCTACACACCACAGACCACCCCACGTGACAACATCATTGTAAGGAATTTACAAGACACTCGACTCAAGGCACCCCTTAATGGGCAAAATTCAAAGAATTGGAGGAAAATGAACCCTCTCCTCACCCGCAAAAGAATTGCTCTAAAAAAGGCAACTGAGGAAGAATTTTCTAGAAGCACAGAGCACGTCCACTTTGGCTCTTCACAGAGTTGATTAGAAACTGGCCTGGAAGTTTTGACAAATGGGACTCTAAGTTCCTCATACAACTGTAAAAGGTAAATGTAAAGGTTCCCTTGCTCGAAAGCCAGTCGAATCCGACTCTAGGGTTGCAGTGCTCATCTCCGTTTCAACGCCGAAGAGCCAGCGCTGTCCAAAGACGTTTCCGTGGTTATGTGGCCGGCATGACTAAACACCAAGGCGCACAGAACGCTGTTACCTTCCCACCGAAGTGGTACCTATTTATCTACTTGCAATGTCTTGCTTTCGAACTGCTAGGTTGGCAGGAGTATACAGCTGTACACCACTGCAATTACTGGAACAACTGAATGCAAAAAGTTGTACCTCACTGAAGAGGCTCCCGTTCACGTAAGAGATCCAGAGTTTCCAGAAGTTGGGGAGCTGGCTCACGACGAGCTTGGTTAGTTTTTCAACAAAGGCCACTTGCTGAGGCGCTTTAAATCGCCAAGCTAAAAGAAGGAAAGCAAAACCATGAACTGATTGTTGGAAAATCAAAAACGAGGTACCTCTTTAAAACTTACCGCTGGGTAATGCAAGGAAGGGGAAAAGGCAACAGGGATTTCTTGACCAGCCTACCTCAGACTAATTGCAGTTTGGTCTTAAGCAGGGGTCATTTCGTAGAAAAATAGGTGCAGGAGCTCATTAGCATAACTTATTAGCATAACTTGTTTGCATAGGCCACACCCCCTGACATCACCGGAAGTGTGTCAGAAGGCAACACCCACCGCTCAGGCTCCACTGGACTGTTTTTCAACAAAGGATTGCAAAGTTTTGGATTGCTAGCTGGGGGGGGGATGCACAGATCTGCCCTCACAGAGGAGGGAGAGCTTGTACCTAAAGGTGGTGGTGGGGCTCTGCAACATACCTGGCTGCTTCTTGCTCCTTGTGGCCCAACTGAGGGCTGCTGGGAGCAGGGGGTGGGGCTTGCTGCATGTGCCCACCCCCTGGGCTCCTTACTGCCGGAGCTCCGCTCCTGTGCGCTCCTGCAGGAAATGACCCCTGGTCTTAAGACTGTAATAATGAAACTAACGGAAGACTAACTGCAATTCTGTTCTTTCCCTCCCAGAACGGTTCCAATTCGTGGCCAATGCATCTGGCTACATTCCACCTACCCCATACGTACAACCGTCATATAACACTGCAATCCTAAGAGTTCTTTTCTGTGATTAAGCCCCACCGAATAGACCTGAGTGGGATCCTGAGGAGAGCTGGTTAGGATTGCTCTCAGCATTACCTAAGAACTGGCATTGAGGTTGGCTGGTTTTCCTCTTCCTTCCCCATCCCACCCCCCCTTCTGTGTCATGAGCATTCCACTAGAGACAGTTTCATGTGCTATGAACTACCTCAAATGGAGTGGCAGAAAAGTGGTAGATAGATGCAGCCAATAAACAAACACACACATGGGCATCAGTGTTCCCTCTAAGCTGAATTAGTGTGAGCTAGCTCACAGTTTTTTAGCCTCTGGCTCACACATTTATTGTCTTCGCCCAGGGAGGAGGGCTCCCGAGCAAACTAATTTATGCAGTAGCCAGATGGCTCGCTCACAACTTTAATGCCAGTCGCTCACAAAGTAGAATTTCTGCTTTCAAGACTCCACGGCTTAGAGGGTGCATTGATGGGCATTGTTGGATCTCAAAGCTGAGATTCAGGAAATACTGGGAATACCCAGCAAAAGGGAATTTTAGCTGGCTATAACTGGGCTGACACACAAGCATCAGCCCAGTTATAGCCAGGTAAAACCCCCTTTTCATAGGAATTACCAGGGCTATTTTCGGGCAGGAACGCACAGGAACAGAGTTCTGGCTGGCTCCCAAGTTGGCCATGCCCAGCAGGAACTCATTAGCATAATAGGCCACACCCAACAGCAGAAACGCACTAGGATTGGCTACATTAGGGGTGTGTGGACTAACATGCAAAGGAGTTCCTGCTACAAAAAAAGCCCAGGGTTGTGACCACAAACAAGGTCAACAGAATAAGAAGCAAAAGGTGGGTGTGGCTGGATGAGCACACTTCTGGTAACATGGGTGTGTGGCCTAATATGCTAATGAGCTGTGCTGTCAGGGCTGTGGCCTAATATGCTAATGAGTTTCTGCTGTTGGGTGTGGCCTATTATGCTAATGAGTTCCTGCTGGGCTTTTTCTACAAAAAAAGCCCTGGGAATTACCATGACCCACATGCTGATATACAGGGTTCAATGCTGACTATCTATCATTGCTGTAGAAGCACCAATTTGGTTTTCTTTCCTCCGGTTTTATGGCCTGGTAAAATAGCATACTCTGTTACTCAACAGATATGGGAAGGGGGATGAACTAATAATGAAATGCCACTTTCATATCATTTTGAGTATCCCAACAGAGCAATCCCAGGCAAAGTTACACCCAGGGGTCATTTCCTGCGGGAGTGCACAGGAGTGGAGCTCAGGCAGTAAGGAGCCCAGGGGGCGGGCACATCCAACAAGCCCCGCCCCCTGCTCCCAGCAGCCCTCAGTCGGGCCACGAGGAGCAAGAAGCAGCCAGGTAAGTTGCAGAGGTCCCCCCTGGCCGACCTTCAGGTACAAGATCTCCCTCCTCTGTGAGGACAGATCTGCGCGTTCCCCCACCCCCCAATAGCTAGCAATCCAAAACAGACCAGTGGCATCTTTAAGACCAAGTTTTATTCAGGTACAAGCTCTCCTTCCTCTGTGAGGGCAGATCTGCTCTCCCTCCCCCCCCCCCAATAGCTAGCAAACCAAAACAGTCCAGTGGAGCCTGAGCGGTGGGTGTTGCCTTCTGACACACTTCCGGTGATGTCAGGGTGTGTGGCATATGCAAATAAGTTACGCTAATGAGTTATGCTAATGAGCTCCTGCACCTCTTTTTTCTGGTTACACCCTTCCAAGTTCACTGGCATCAACACATTTGGTAGGGCGTAAATCGGTATAGGAGCCTGCTGCCTGTAAATGGAGTTGCCAACTTCCAGGTGGTGGCTGGAGATCTCCTGGGATCCCAACCGATTTCCAGGCAGAAAAGATCAGATCACCTGAAGAAAATGGCCCTTTTGGAAGGTGGATTATAACTTGCTGAGGTCCCTCCCCCCTCCCCAAAACCCGCCTTTCTCAGGTTCCACCTCCAAGTTCTCTGGGGATTTCCCAACCTGGAGCTGACAACCCTACCTATAAAGCAGGCCAGTATCATTAATCCCGGGTGGAGGGCTGAGCTAAGACAGAACAGCTTCCCTAAGACTAACTAGTGACATGGCAGAGACAAGAGTCAAACGAGAGACGTCCCCATTTACAGCCCAGAGATTTTTTTACTCACTACGTTATCCCATCAAATTGCAACTTCCCCCCCCTCCCAACAGAAAACACACCAGCACCTACTTTCATCCCGGCTGGACTGATTACTGCTGCCTCTTTTCAGAGAAGCACTCCGACTGAGATGACCGAGTGACGATGGGCGTACTTCAGTGTCCAGATCCAACATTGGGCTGTGTGCTAACACGTGGCCTGGAGGGGGGGAAAAGGAAATAGCGATGGGTACTCCTCAGTCAATGGATGGTAGAGTGTCAGTGTCTGCAAATAAAAGACGATACACCCTTCTGTATTTCTTGTACGAACACCGTTTCACAGGCTCTACTAATCTGCTACTCCGTCGAGCTCATCCAACAATGATTGGGGAATCCTTCTGACTTTTCATACGCGATGTATATTGATCTCACTGTTGTTGGCGATTGGCTGGCTAATAACACTGGTCGGCAACCCAACACTCTGCTTCACGTGCACGTAGGGTCTACGTCTGCTCAACGGCGTGTGGTTCTGCGTGACGGTTATACACTTCATCAACCTAATGTCACATTGCTCGTAAACCAGTTGTGATATACATTCCCCAGTTTCTTTCAAGTTAGCATTCTAGGGGCAAATACCAAGGGAGGGGGAGGATGTTGCCTTCATGCCCTGCTTGTAAGCTTCCTAGAAGCATCCAGCTTTATCTATTGGTATATTAGACTCCGTGGGCCTTTGGTTTGATCCAGCGTAGCTATTTAATGAACTACCTTACTGAAAACATTTATGGGCTGCCTTCCTACCATGCAGAACTCAAGGCGACTTACAATGTAAATGAAACAACAATGATAAAAATAAAACGACAATGGTAAAAATTTAAAATCACAACAAGGACTGCCAATAAGTGATAAACTAAATTACTCAAATGCAGCTCTAAACACCAATATCTTCAACTGCCTCCTAAAGATCAAAAGTGTGTGTGTGTGTGTGTGGGGGCAGGAGCCCCTCCCTGGGGAGGTTGTTCCATAATGTGGGGCTGCCACCGAAAAGGCTCTCTGTCACTGGATGAACTCCTTTGGTGGACTGGCCAATCAAGAGGGCCTCTCCCTGTGATCTGAGTTAACAGGCAGGAACACACGGGGGGGGGGGATGGTTTTTCAAATATCCTGGTTCCAAGCTACTCTTGACGTCTCACAGATGACACTCTAAAAAGGCCACAAGGAGGGGGAAAGGATGGCAGAGAAACCCTTGAAATATCACAGAAAGTGAGGAAAAACATAAAGAGAAGAGATTGGATTTATACCCCGCCCTTCACTTGGAGTCTCAGAGCGGCTTACAAACTCCTTTCCCTTCCCCTCCCCACAACAGACACCCTGTGAGGTGGGTGGGGCTGAGAGAGCTCTGACACAAACTGCTCTTTTTCAAGGACAGCTGTGCCAGAGCTTGTGACTGACCCAAGGTCACATCAGCAGGTGCATGTGGAGGAGTGGGGAATCAAACACGGTTCTCCCAGATTAGAGTCCGCACACTTAACCACTACCCCAAACCGGCACACTTAACCACTACACCAAGACATAAGCATTTCTTCCGCCAGCCTGCCTTTGTAGTTGTGTCTTTTTTAAAAAAAATAAAGGACTTCTTATAAAATCTCACTTTCTATTAGTTAAGAGCTTATGTGCAAAGCCAATCAGAAGTCAACCCCCCACCATATTTTAGTTACTTCACAATTACTACATACCTGCACTTTACAACCCACCTGAAAACTACCTTCCTGACAGAACACAGTATGATTCCACCCATACTACCATAGTACCAAGAGTCTCTGACAAGCTTCATGATGTTTGTTGCATTAAAGAGAACGTTTTCTATATAGCTCTCCCAAAATAGTTAAAGAGGGTTCTCCTGTACGAAGTGATGGGCACAAGTTCCTCTTCTATAATACTCTGTATACAGTTTCAAAGAAGACGGGGACGGCAAAGGATGAGATTGTTAGACAGTGTCATAGATGCAACGAACATGAAACTGAGCCAACTTCAGAGGACGGCGGAAGACAGGAGGGCCTGGCGGGATCTGGTCCATGGGGTCGCAAAGAGTCGGACTCGACTGTGCGACTGAACAACAACAACAACATACAGTTTTTAAAAATACAGAATTGGATTAGAGCAGACATTCGAAAATACCCTTAAGGGTGAGACTGCAGGAGTCTATCTGTGCAAACCCTGGGCTATTTAATACTGGGATATCTGAATATCCAAGCATGCCACCTTTTATGGAACACGACGATGCGTTAGGACGTCTGAGCCGTGGAGCAGGAGGGTTCACAACATCAAAGGGACTTTTAATTTATAAAAAAGAAAGCAGTGTTGCATGTAACAAAATGTGGTTGAGCAGAGAGGAAGAGCCCTGTCACGGTCTGTGGCCGCGAAGTTCCAACGACACCTGTGCACCCACAATCTGCAGTGCAGTTACAACTGTTATGCCTGTAACCAGGGAGACCCGCGGCTTTCAGTGGCACAGAACATAACATTTCCACAGTTAGAAAAATTACAACATTGTTGTATTACTTCAGGTGGGCAGCCTAATTATTCCAGCCTAAGGAAGGCCGAGCGCCGAAGAATAGATTCTTTTGAACTATGGTGCTGGAGAAGACTCTTGAGAGTCCCTTGGACTGCAAGAAGATCAAATCAGTCAATCCTAAAAGAAATCAACCCTGACTGTTCCCTGGAAGGCCAGATAATGAAACTGAAGCTCAAATACTTTGGCCACCAAGTGAGAAGGGAGCACTCACTGGAGAAGACCCTGATGCTGGGAAAGATTGAAGGTCAAAGAAGACGGGGACGGCAAAGGATGAGATGGTTAGACAGTGTCATAGATGCAACGAACATGAAATTGAGCCAACTTCAGAGGACGGCGGAAGACAGGAGGGCCTGGCGGGATCTGGTCCATGGGGTCGTGAAGAGTCAGACTCGACTGTGCAACTGAACAACAACAACTCAGTGAAATCAGTGGGCTTAGATTAGGCACAGCGTTGCACTGTTGGAGATGTAGACTCAACCAGACACAAAGGTGATCTTCTACAAGTCACTATACTCCTAGCCAGTGTCCCCTCTAAGCTGAGTCAGTGTGAGCTAGCTCAGAGTTCTTTAGCCTCCGGCTCACACGTTTTTCTCTTCGCTCAGGAAGGATGGCCTCAGTGCAAGCTAATTTATGCAGCAGCCAAATCGCCCGCTCACAACTTTAATGCCAGTAGCTCACAAAGGAGAATTTTTGCTCATAAGACTCCACGGCTTAGAGGGAGCACTGCTCCTAGCTCTGAGGATGAACTAGGGAAAAGTAAGATTGCGGTGGGTAGCCATGTCAGTCTGAAGCAACAGAACCAAGTTTGAGTCCAGCCGCACAGACCTTTTGAGTCCAGTGGCATGCACCTTTAAGACCAACAAGTCTGAGTCCAGTGGCACGCGCCTTTGAGACCAACAAGTTTAATTCTGGGTATAAGCTTTTGTGTGCAACACACACTGGACTCCAACTTTGTTCTAGGAAAAAGTAAGAGAGGCCTGATTATTGCTCAGAGCCTCTAGGAAAAAGCATGGGCTAAAAATCAGCAAGCAATTCAGCACTGACTATTAAACACGAGATGATACCCCTATTAGCTAACAACAACAACAAAAAAAAACCCAGAATACACTCACTGAGTGTAGTTGGATAGAACTAAGCCTACTGCCTTCACACTGCAACGGCTATATAATATAGCTCTGTTATGGTTCTTCTAGCAGGTGAAATGTTGGAAACCAGCCAGTATCGACAGTGTGCCAGCAGAGTATTTGCAGAGCCCTTAAGGAAGTTCTTGGTTTCTATTACAATGAAAAGAGATTCAGTCACTCTGCTTCTGTATTGTGGGACTGTGGAGTGTTCAAAGAAAACCAAGGCGATGGCCAGGCAAGCATAATTTACTCACCCACTGTGGGGTTTGTGCAGACCCTAAAAAGCCAATCATAGAAATTAATAGACAAAAAAAAAAAGCTTTTGGGCTTTCATGAATTATGACACCCACTGTAAAGAGAGAAAAAAAAGTCCTACATGTCATTGCTTCCCTTTTTGGCAGTACAGGAACAAAACAGCAGGGGAAAAAGACAACTGGAGAAAAGGTATGAGAATCAAGAAAGCATAAATTTGTCAAGGCCGCTGTTTGCGCTCCTTTCACTTTCCCATGAATTCAGAGCAGTGTGTTTCTGTGGACACAAGGATTTCTGCTGTTCTTGGGAGTTTTTTCCCCCTCCTATGGCTTCAACATTTCCGAAAATTGAACATGTTTAAATAAAGTTTTTATCAAGATCTACTTCTTTGAGTCAATTTACCTGCACTTTTTAGTCAAAGTAACTAGATGAAATTTCATTCTAGGTGCAGTGAGCCTCAGAAATGCCATCAGGAGCAAACAAGGTTGACAGCCCTCCCCTGCTGACGGTGGCCACCGGCACGGAATTGGGGTGTGTATGTAGGGTTGCCAGATCCACGTTGGGAAATCCCTGGAGATTTGGGGATGGGGCCCGGGTCAGTGTTCCCTCTAAGCTGAGTGTGACCTAGCTCACAGCTTTTTAGCCTCCAGTTTACAGATTTTTGTCTTAGCTCAGGAAGGAGGGCTCCAGAGCAAACTCATTTATGCATTGGCCATATCGCTCGCTCACAACTGTAATGCCAGTCGCTCACAAAGTAGAATTTTTGTTCACGAGATTCCACAGCTTAGAAGGAGCCATTGGCCTGGGGAGGACAAGTACTTCAGTGGGGTACAGTGCCATAGGGTCCACCCTCCAAAGCATCCATTTTCTCCAAGCAAACTGATCTCTGTAGTCTGGAGATGAGCTGTAATTCCAGAGGATCCCCAGGTCCCACCTGGAGGCTGGCATCCCTAGGAACAAACATCCAAGAGCAAATGGGAGACCAGATTTGTAAATGCAGGGTTGACTTATGAACTTCATCACATGCTATGACATCCCTTAATATACGGAAGCTTAAGGCCTAATCAAAGACAAACACATCCAAGAAAGCTAGGTAAACGTTACGATTAGTACCTTAATGCAACCTGTGCTTCCTGCCTTTCTTCCCTACTATTCCCTCTAGGGCCACTGCTATTTCAGTGTTTCCAAGATCCCTCTGCTCCCTTCTGCAAATACCTTCATTTGCAACCTGCATACCTCTTATCCACTTTGCTGCATCCTATTTCCGGCAGC